CAAATGCGCTTTACACAATTGATGTGTGTATGGATTGGGATAACAGTTGTATGAGCCCCTAATAAAATGTTAAAAAAAAAAAGAAAAAGGAGTCATAGGTATATTCGGATGGATAAAGAAGTAAAATTATCTCTATTTGTGGATGATATGATCTCAAACACAGAAAACCCCAGGGTACACAAGAAAGCTTCTAGTGCTAATAAAGGAATTCATCAAAGTTGTAGGGTATGAAGTCAACAAGCAAAACTACACCAGCACTGAGAAATCTGAAAGGAAACTTAGGGAAACAATTCCATTCATAGTAGCATCTAAGAGAATAAAATGTCCAGGAAGGGAAAAGGTTCTACAAGTACAATGGAAATTAAGACGCACTGCTGAGAAGAGATTAAAGGTGACTTACGTAAGTGGAAAGATAGCACCTGCTCCTGGATTAGAAGACTTAATATCAGTAAGATATCAATATTGCTGAATGCTATCTACAGATACAATGCAATCTCACTCAAAATTCTAAGAGCTGGCTTTGTAGAAACAGAAAAGCCAGTCCTCAACTCTAGATGGAAAGGGTAGAGGTGAATAGTTAAAACATTGCTGCAAGAGAAAAACAAAGTCAGACGCACACTTCCTGGTTTTGAAACATCCTACACAGATGGAGGATGGAGCCGGGGTTACGGGTTGAGCTGCAAACCAAAAGGTAGATGGTTTAAACCCACCACACTGGCTACCCTGGGTGAGAAAGATGAGGCTGTCTGTGATTCTAAAAGGATTACGGTCTCAGACCCTGTATAGGCTATATATGAGTGAGAACTCGGTGGGGGTGGGTTTTATTTTATTTTTTTAAATACATCTACAGTAACCGAAACAAACAGAAACAGGGTATAACAACAGACACGTAGATCAGTGGAATAGACTTGAGAGTCCAGAAATAAACCCACACATTTGTGGTCAATGGATTTTTGACAAGGCTGCTAGTCTAATCGATGGGGAAAGAATAGTTTCTTCAGTAAGTGGTGCTGGGAAAACTGGACTTCCACATGCAGCAAAAATGAAAACAGGATCATGAAACTGGATCCTTAAATGCAAAACAAATTCAAAGTAGATCAAGGACCTGAATGTGCAACTAAAAACCGTAAAGTTTTTTTTAACAAGAAGAAGCAGGGGGTACAGGGTAAAGCTGAGTTTTCAACAATGGATCATCTAGTATAACTAACAAAAGCACAAGCCTCAAAAGACAAACTAAATAAATGCCACTTCATAAAAATGAAAAACCACGGTACATCGAAAGACATTACCAAGAATGTGAAAAACAAACCAAACATTTGGTCTCTCTTTACCTGGAGCAACAGAACGAGTCAAGACTAGAAAGGGGACAGACAATGTGTGGCTAATGGCCTTCGTGCACAATTGCCTCCTCAGCCGTGAGAGGCTAGACTGGATGATACCTGGCCATCATGACTGACATTGTGAACAAAGATTCCTAAACAAAAGTGGGAAAATGCAGAAGAGAATTTCAAATTCTCATGGGCTTGGGACTTACCGGAGCCACGGAGGGTGGATGAACTCCCGAGATTATTGTCCTGAGATAATGTCTCATACCTTCTGGAAGTCATCTTAAAATGGAACTGTAGCTTAGCTTAGTGAGTCTAAAGGGTCTGTCTTGAGCATTATGCTCTTTTAAGCGTGATCTACATGGGGTTAAATTGCCAACAGCCACTCAGGGTGAGATAGTAGCCTTGGGGCAATGAGCGCCTGCTGATGGGGATGAACAACTCAACAGAGGAGGGTGAGAATGGTGGCACGACTTGAAACCTGTCATCAGCTCACGACCGAGTTCGTGAGGAAACTTGCTCTGGCTGTGTCTATTTTCTCCACAAGAACAAAACAAAAACGAGAAGAAAAAGAAAACAGGCCGGAAGGAATGAGGTTTTGTGATCCTAAGGGCCCCTTCAGGAAGATGTAGGGCAATGATCAGCCGGCATGAGTATCACTGGCGGATACTTGGAGCAAGGGGTGGCAGGGAGGCTCTGGAGGAGGCCCCTGAAGCCTCGGGCACTAACACGAAGTCCACGCAGGAAGCAGGCGGCTCCGAGAGGCCCGTACCTGTGAAACCACCATCTGCGATATTAAACATGAACCGCGGCTTCTCGGCTCTCTCTTCCCGCCGCCCGTTGGACCGTGGCTCATCTCGCGGAGGCCCTGGCCGGAGCTCCCGGTCCCCTTTACCGTCTTCTGCTAGGGCAGAGGGGACAGTGGAGTGGCGCATGCCTCTGGGCAGTCTCCTTTCTACCACCTGTACTGTACTGGCCCTCAAATAGCTACCCTCCCACGACCCCAGCTGGCCATTTTGTTCCCCAGACTCCACCTCCCCTGACTCCCTCAGGGACCCACGTGGCCAGTCCTTCCACCCATTACCTCTCTTGCCCAAATCCCCCGTTTCCCCCTCCGGCCTCTCCCTGTGCTCCTGTCCATCCAACGGCTTCTCCTCCCCCCTCTCTCTTGGCGTCGACTCTGTGGCTGTGGGAGGCGGCAGGGGACAGGAAGGGAGGATGTCACCCTCATCCTTTGACCCCCAGAAGAGGGAACCCCCAAATTCTAATCTTCTCCCATCATTCCTAGGACCATACGCCTACCTGACTTCTCTCTGTCCCCCCGGTACCCAGGTTCAGTCTCCATCTCTCCAGGTATCCCTGGCACCTCATCCTCCAGAGGGATCTTCCTTGGCTCCAGCCGCTCCCCTAGTGAAGGGACTGGGCTGGGTGCGTCAGGCTAGAAAGAAACAATGGAGTCAGAATCAGTCAGTGACTCCCAGGCACGTGGCCTCCAAGACCCTCGCGTCCCCTGCCCTTGTGGGGAGCCAGCTAAACACACACCTCTGTCTCCATCTTCTCCCCCATCTTGCTCTCTTTCTCTGGTTTCTCCTCCTGGTTTTCAGCTTCATCTTTCTCGAGAGGCGTCCTTATCCCATCGCCTTTCTCACTCAGAGCTGGAGTCGCTGTTGGGGACAGGTCAAGTGAGGGACGTAGGGTGTAGGCACCTTCACATCAACCCCTCTGGATCTGACCAACAGCTGGAGACCGCGGCGGCCCCACCCACCCATTACCAGGTTTCGAGGTGCACGGGCTGTTTGCAGCGGAAGCCTCGGGAGTGGTGGGCGATGTTTTGGTAGGAGAGGAGGCTCTTGAGGAGCGCTTCGAGTCGGCACTGGGGTCAGGCATCAGCTCAGGCATCGACCAGCGCCCGTTGATGTGCTCAAACTCCTGTACCTGCATGGTAGGGGCCGGGCTCAGCTCCGAGCACCAGCTCCCACTAGCTGGAGTCCAGAACGCATGGGGGGAGGCAGAAGGAGGATGGCCTTGGGGGCTAGGCTGATGCCTTGAGTTGTAGGGGAAACGGATACCTTTTTCTTGACGAGGGACATGACTCCAATGCGGGTCAACACTTGTTGGCGACTCAGTCCCTCCCGGGGGACACCATCAGCAAAGGTCTCAGAGCCGTCCGCCCCCGGTTCGCAGAGATGGCGCATGAACAAAGACACGTAGGCCCTATGGAGCATGGGATGCGCAGAAGGGGAGGAGAGCCTCAGAAGCAGCCCAGGATGGTGAGGGAGGCACAGAGGCTCCTGGAGCCCCAATTGCCCTTGGGCTTCTCAGTGTCATCCTTTCCAGCCTTCCAAAGCCTCTCCCCCATTTCCCCCTTCCCCTGAATGCCCAGTGTCTCCGTGCCCTCGGTACTTTGTTCCCAGGCCCCATCAGCCAGCTCTTCATCCTGTTCACCAGCTCCACTACTGGGTCGGCGTGATCAGGTTAAGTGTGAGGCTAGGACAGCCTGGGCGAGGCTCCCTTCTTGAAAGCCACTCCCAGGGGAGGAAGCCTGGCCTCTCTCCTCTAGGCTCGTCTGAGGGGAGGTGGAGGAGGCTGAGCCCACCGCCCAGGAAACCGAGCCAGGAAACACGACACAGCAGGAAGGGTGATGATCAGTTGAGTAAGGGCTCATCATAGGGCAGCCACGGGAAAAAGTGACTCCCACCCCCACTCTCTTTGACCCAGTCAGCCTCCAGTCAGCCACACTCACTTAAACTCCTTCTCAGTCTTGCCCCTCAGGTCCCGCACCAGCCACTGGGTGGTGAAGGCATCCTGAGGGGGCATGCCCCAGCGCATCACAGCGTTGAGGAAGGCCTTCCGCTGGCGAGTGTTGAATCCCAGCACCTGGGGATGGGGGCACAGGAGGAGCAGGGGCTAAATGGCCAGCCACCCAGGCCTCACTGTCCAAACCCCATAGCCCTTATTCTCTCCCGAGGAGGCACTGGGGTGTGGGCCTGGCTCTCACCTCGATGTTACCCCCAACTCGAGCCAGCAGTGGAGGCAGCGGCTTATCTTTTTCATTCCGCAGCTGCCTCTTGGACTGGCGACGGCCTGTTGGGGGAGTGGGCAGGAGCACAAGACGGCGGTTAGTCCCTCTACCCCCTCTGCCCTTCGGTCATTCTCAGGCCCGTGTCACAAAGGCCTCTGTCCCTCATGTCAGGCCTATCTCTCATCTTCATCCGAACACTTTCAGAACCACTGACAAGCACAGTGTGCATCAAATCATCAAGCCGCATCAGTAGTGAATCTTTGATGCAGAAATGATTATTGGTGGGAATGGAAAACAAAGTAACCTTCCTTGAGCCCCTTCTATATACTCAACATGTGTACAACGCCTGGCTATCTCTGCCTCGAGAGAGGACAGACATGCGTTCTTTGTGCTTATCTGTCATGTTCCTATGAGAAAACATATTTGATCTGTACAAAAACAGTGGGTTTAACTGGAGTTGGGAAAGAACATCAGAAGAAGTCAGACAGTTAGGCAGGAAAACTGATCCTACCTTCAGGACGTTCATCGAAGTCTTCATCCTCCTCCTCTGATCCCACTGAGTATTCTGATTGGTTATCTGTGGGGGTCAGAGGTCACTGGTGACTCCCCGGGCAAGCCTACGCTAGGGCCCTTTCCACTGAGATGCAGGTTCTTTCCCTTTGGCCATAGCTGTCCTGGAGAGGTGGGGCCACCACGAGCCACAGACTCTGAACCATCTCAACTCACTATATACCTCCCTACTCTTCCACCTGGACTCCTGTAGAGCCAGCCTACTGGCAGCAATGACCCCTGGGTGCCCACCCAGACCCTTCTGCAATCACTGGATCATTTAAAATGCCTTCACACCCAGCTAGCCTCCAGGTGCCCCCTACTGACTCTGATCTCTTCCCTTCCTCGAGCAGGGTCCTGACTTCTAAGGCTCTCTTCCTTCCAAACCCCACAGCCCCCAAGCCCTTATTCACCGTCCCGTCTCTCTCTCTCACGTGGGGGCAGCCCTCACCTTGGTCCTCCTGAGCCGCATCATTGTAATTAACTTGCTTCCGAACACGCTTGCCCTTGCCGAGATTCCGGGCCAGGTCCTCCTGCTGCTGCTCGTAGTGGTGCCTCAGCAGCTTCTCCCAGTAGTCCGGGTCCACGTTCTCCTCCTGCTTGATGATCTCCCGTTCGATTTCCTCAATCTGAAGGGCAGCAGCAGGACTGTGGCAGGCGCCCTCTGCACCCAATCCTGTTACCCCAACAAAAGCTTCCCTCTCCTGCCTGAGCCCCGTCCGCTCTCACTGTTCCTCCGGCTCCTTGTTAGCCTGGCTGCCCTCGCTAGATGTGGCCCATTCCCCTCGCTCTCATCTGAGAGATCCTGCTCACCTCCAATCACCTCTGCGTTCTTCCTCCACTAATTCAGAAGGTGTCCTGGGTTTAGCTGTACTTTCGGGGCCTACGAGTCTCTCCAAAGTCGGGCCCCAACCCTTTGAGGGCCACTATGACTCTTTCTTGGTTATAAGGTACGAGATTACATTGAAAAACAGGAGCAAAGGGGTATGGGATCCTCCTGCTTTTAAGGTACAGTAGAGGACACGGCCCTCCAGAAATGACCTTGGAGCTAACAGTGTCTGGCCCCCAGCCTCTCACCTTGTCTTCTTCCCGTACAACATACTGGGCCACCTTGAAGGAGCTGAGGTACTCATTCATGTTCTGCACATCAGTGTCTTCCGTAGCATCCTGGTTCCGGTCCAAGAGCCGAGCAATAGCCTCATTGTCGTAGTGGATCACGCTGCTGTCTTCTTCCTTATTCTCGCCTGGTAGCGACAGGGAACAAAAGGAAATGCCAACCAGAACCTTGGGCAGAACCTCAGCCCACTCAGAAGACAGGCTACACTTTGCTTCTTTCTCGTGGGCACTGTGGAGAAAACGGCTGCTTCCTCGAGAGGGGCTTTTCGACGGCAGCCCATCTGGTTTGGGTTTGGAGGAGAGGCGAAAAGAGTGCCTAGGTGGGCAGCCAGGCCTGCTGTGAGGGGGCTGCAGGAGGGGCTCTCACCGGCGGGCTGACAGGCCTGCTGTAAGGGGGCTGCAGGGGGGGGCGCTCACCTTCATTTTCATCCTTGAACAGCTCCTCGGTGCCAAACTTGAGGATGTCGTCCAGTTCCTGCTTGGACATGGAGCCGGCCTTGGAGCCCAGCCCGGGTCGCACGACCAGATGTGTCAGCATCATCTTTCTCTTGGCCACTTGTGTGATTCGCTCTTCCACTGACGCACGCGTCACAAACCGGTAAATCATCACTTTGTTGGCCTGGCCAATCCGGTGAGCCCGGCTGAAGGCCTGCAGGGCAGGTGAAAGTTGGTGGTCAGGGGAGAAACTACCCACCAGCTAAGGTGAGGAGGCTGGTAAGGGAGGGTCTTCCAGCCCGCAGGAGGCATATTTCTGTCCCCAGAGCACAGCACCCTTCTCCATGAACCCCTGTCTCCTTGCCAGATGACAAGACCCCCCTACCCCACCTCCACCCCAGCCCAACACGCCCCTAGCCCACCCCCGCCCAGGATTTGAATTCCTACCTGGATGTCATTATGAGGGTTCCAGTCAGAATCGAAGATGATGACCGTGTCAGCAGTGGCCAGATTGATGCCCAGGCCCCCAGCGCGGGTGGACAGAAGGAAGCAGAATTGTTGGGCCCCAGGAGCTAGTAAGTGAGAAATAGCAATCAGGTTCTTCCACGCCCAGTAGTTTACCTACTTCCTCAGAGATCTTCCCAGACTCCAAACGACCATGCCCCCAACTCCGATGTCCCCCACGCTCATCCCAAGGGACCCAGTTGCTTGGGCTTCCCACACCGGGCAGGGGCGGAGGCATCTCTTCCCCCTCACCATTGAACCGATCAATGGCTTCCTGCCTCAGTGCACCGGTGATGCCACCGTCAATGCGCTCATACTTGTAGCCTTCGTAGTCTAAGAAGTCCTCTAGCAAGTCTAACATTTTGGTCATCTAGAGCAAGAGAAAAGGTAGAAGTCTAGCACAATGAGGCCATGGGTGAGATGGACCCTCCCTGTACCTCTTCCTCCACCCCAGGCCTGTCTGCACTAAGCTTCCCTGGTACCGGCCCCGCTCACTCTCTGCCACTGAGCTCAGAGGGGCTGGATCCTGGACTTCCGAGGCTGTGCCTCTCCGTGGTACCAGCCACACCCTCCCTTTGCCATAGAGCACCTGCTGGCTTTGCGGCCCGAGGCCTCACCCAGAGACCCTCGGGGCTCCTTCCTGGACACCCCTAACTCAATCCCACCACCACGGAGTCCATTCCAACCCATCACAGCCCTCCAGGGCAGAGTGGAACTGCCTCTGTGGGTTTCCGCGGCTGTGAACCTTTGTGGGAGCAGGAAGCCTTATCTCTCTCTCTCACAGAGTGGCAAGTAGAGTGGAAGCGCTGACCTTGTGGTTAGCAGCCCAACGCCATATCACAATACGCCACCAGGACGTGCTCTGGACCCTAGTTCCTCATTACTCTACACGCTGGTCCGACTCTCTTGGTTTTAGGACAAGTCTCCTAAGGCAGAAATGCTTCTCTCATACCCATTAAAAGATTTTAGGGCACCCTCTGAGCACCCCCCTGAAAATCTGTACAGTTTTCTTTGTGCATTTGGGGGGAGAACAGACCCATCGATGTCATCACATGTCCAAAGGGTCTGTACTTCTCTGCTCTACCGGAAATACAGTGAAGAAGCGTGCCAGTCCCAGAGACCCACAACTTTTTGGAGGCACCAGGTGGCTCTCTCTTCTCCCGCTCTGCTGACGAGAAGCTGAAACTAGTTTCCCAGAGCCTTTAAGATCAGGGATCAGAGGCCAAGGATGAACTACCTTTGCCGGCAATCTTTCAGGGAATCACCTGCTAATCTCTCAGTGACCAGGAATGAAAGTCGGGATGGCGAGCAAGGGAGCTGCGAGAGTGAGACAGAGACAGAGCGGAGGGGACGGTCACCTGTGAGAAGATAAGCACTCTGTGTCCTTGCTCCTTGAGCTTCCGCAGCATCTTCTGCAGCAGCATAAGCTTCCCCGACGACTTGATCAGCGCCCCACCCTCGTAAGCCCCACTAGGGAGTTTGGGGGACTCCTGAAAAGAAGCGAGGGAGGAAGAAAAGGAGGGTCATTGACGCTGTGCCTAGAGAGCCGGACTCCCCAATCCAGACGACCTCCCCGTGCCTCGGCGGGGAACCGCCACTGCTCCCTGGCCAGCTCCGCTTGCCCCGTCCCAAAGAGCCGGGTGTCTGATCAGTTCTCGCCGCAGCGCACCCACCATGGCGGCCACAGGAAACAGGTACGGATGGTTGCAACACTTCTTAAGATCCATCATGATGTTAAGTAGTGACACTTGGTTCCCACCACCTCGTGAATTCAAGGCCTCAAAATTTCGAGTCAGGATGTACTTGTAGTATTTCCTTCAAGGCCAGGATGGGGACACAGAGAGATAAAAGACAGAAAAGCAACGGTGACAAGGAGGCACTTGGTCACCACCTCTTGGCAAGGGCCGCCAGGTTCCCAACCCGAGCCCAGGGAGCCCACGCTGCATCTCACTTCTGCATTGGGCTCAGCTCCACTCGAACAATGAGCTCTGTCTTGGCCGGCATGTTCTTAAAGACATCAGCTTTGAGCCTCCGCAGCATGTGTGGCCCCAACAAGTCATGCAGCTTCTTAATCTGGTCCTCTTTGGATATGTCAGCAAACTCCTCCAAGAAGCCCTCCAGGTTGCTGGCACCCAGGAGACAGGAAAGGAACGGGTGAGCAGGTTGTATGGCCCCGATCCCGGCGTGATTCTGAATCCTCCTCCTCTGCCAGCTCCTCTGTCAGTCTCCCACAGCCTCACTCGGCATTCCAGCTACTTACTTAAACCTCTCGGGGGTGAGGAAGTTCAGCAGGTGGAAGAGCTCCTCCAGGTTATTCTGCAACGGGGTGCCGGTCAGCAGTAACTTATGGTCTATCTTATACCCATTGAGGACCCTGAAAAACTAGAAGATGGTGCAAGGGAGGGCAGGAGAAAGAGCCGGTTAGTGGCTAATGGTTGGCCAACCACATAGAACTTTCCCTGCCCACAGCTCCGGCTTCCCTCCTGATCAGATGCTATGCATTCCCTCGTCTCTTCCCTCTTCTCGTCTGTGCTCCACACGGAATGCTTGTTTGTTTGCTTCAAAGGATCAGGCTTCTGGGGGCTCACCTTGGACTGGTTGTTCTTGAGCCGATGGGCCTCATCCACCACGAGGCAGGCCCAGCGGATGGAGCCCAGCGCGGCCTGATCAATGGTGATCAGCTCATACGAGGTCAGGAGCACATGGAACTTCACCTGGGCTTCTCTCTGCCAACACAATCGCGGCCCATTGGGCTGCCACCCTACACCCGGATGCCTCACCAGCCCCCACCCTGCACCCACATGCCCCGGCCTGACTGGGACTCCCAAAGTGAACCAACCAATGGTCTTGTGCTTCAACTTTGATTCCAAGCAGCGAGCAATGAACTTGGCGTCAAACTTGGCCCCACGTCTAGTAGGACGCACACCAATTGAGTGCCAGTTTATGAGGGAGCTTCAAAAAGTTTGTGGGGAATGGAACTAGAATGAATTCTTCCACACACTCTACGAAGCTGGTTTGTGTACAAGTCCCTTGGGGTACCTGCTACATCTCTTGGGGTGCAGGAGGCACGAAGATGAGTAAAAGAAAGGAGGGGGGCACTGTGTGGGGAATGAAGGCCTGAAATCCTGGTCCAGGCAAACAAAGGTCATATTCGAGTATCTCTGAGGCTAAGACAGACATAAAGGCGCTCACCTTCATCTTGAAAGCTTTCTTGCCACCTTTAATGGCATTGTCCTCAAAGGAAAACTCATTCTCACGAATGATGGCCCGGCTGTCCTTGTCACCCGTGTACGTCACCACGTAGAACTTGGGTGCCCACATTTGGAACTCTCGCTCCCAGTTAATGATAGTAGAGAGTGGCGCACTCACCAGGAAGGGGCCTTTTGTGTGGCCCTGGCAGTCAAGAGAGGGGAGGGGAAACCATCAGTGTGACTTGTGGCTCTTAGACTCCAGCCCGCTGCCTGCCACGCCATGCCCCTCCCCAACCCCGACTCCCTTCACCCTCCTCCTCCCACCTTCTATAGTCCAAGCTAGCCTCGGCCTGGCTGTCCCACTTAGGCACCCTAAGAGCCAGCACCTCCTTATAGAGCGAGTAGAGGAAGACAATGGTTTGAATGGTCTTGCCCAAGCCCATCTCATCAGCCAGAATGGTGTCTGTCCCCTGGGCCCACGAGAAGCGTAGCCAGTTCAGCCCTTCTAGCTGGTACATATGCAGTGTGCCGCCTGTGGCGGTGATGAACCGTGGCTGAGTCTCGTATTTCACTGTAGGCTGTAGTGTCAAGAAGTCAAAGTGTAAAGAACCGTCAGTAGCCCTTTGGGTCTTTTCGTTTGCTTGTCTGAGTGAAAGGTTAATGAACAAATTGGTTTTCCATTCAACACAACCTTACATTCTGTTTTTGACAAGCCCTTTGGGTCTTGGTCTCTTACTCTCTGGCACTCTGACTAGGTTGGAATGGTAGGTCCCTCTACCACAGGCTGAGCCTAGAAAAGTTCACGTGTTTGGCTCCCCCTCAACCCCCATTCCTAAAAAGAATACCCAGCATAGGGAAGGGCCCCCCCCCCCAGGGCTGCCACTTCCACAGGCTCTTGGACGTTCACGTCAAATTTCCCAGCCACTCTTGGAGAAAGACTGAATACTGAAGGAAGGACGACTGCTCAGCGAGGTGGCTGAAACTCTGGGAAGTTCTGTAGGGAGACCCAGGGAGCTTTCCCATCACCACGGCTCTGGAAAGGGAACAAAGTCCAAGGCAGAAGACTCACATCATTAGTAGGAGAACTTGGAGGCCCGTCCATCTGTAGCTCCTTCTTCTTCTTCTTACATTTGCGGGGCTGGGCGGGGTCCTCCCCCATAATTAGTTCTCTGGGAGAAAAGTGGGCCTGAGTGAAATCTATGTTTAGGAAGCGCCTCGCCCCTCCAAATCCATTCCAGACCTACCTTCTGCTTTCCATAACCTAGATCTGCTCCCCAACTTCCTTTTCACCTTCACAGTTATGGTCCCTGAGCCTGAGCACCCCCTTCCCCACCACACAGACCACGTCTGACTTCTGTTCCCTCCACTGCCTCTTTACCAAACCCAGGCTCCCACTGCCCTCAACTCACGACCCAGTCGTGTCCCCACTACATGTCATTTGATGATGGAAGGTTTGGTCCTCACGCCCCAAGCCCATCTCTAAGCCACGGCCTAGCTTCCTCACCGGTGTCTCCAGTAGCTTTGCTTATGGTCTTCATATTCAGGGATGCTCATTTCATCTTCCTCCCACGTAGACTGGTCATATGGCAAGTCCCTCCATTTCACTAAATAGTGGTAATTCCCCTTTTTATCCACACTGTAGGGCAGAGGACCAAGAGGAGCCGTAGGAGAAAAATGTATATAGGTCACAAGTTGAAAGCGAGTCCTATTAACACAATGATCAGCCAACATGCAGATTCTCTCACCTGGTTCTCAATGATGGGCTACTGCAAGGGGGTGCAGGATGGCTAAAATGCTATCCTAACTTTCTCAGAACGACAGCCTGAAAATCAGCCATCACAGTACAGTATTTGGCTTTGCTGTCACTCGATCATTCTGCGAGGACTTACGAAGCATCGATTATGTTCTGGGCACTGTTCGAGGCACTAGCGATTCCGCAGTGAACGAGACCGAGAAAAGATCCTATTCTCATGGCGCTCACAAACTACCCGGGAAGGTGGCAAGGAAACACAGAATAACTAAGTGGCATCGCGTTGGGCGGTAAGAAGCCCGACGAAGAAAAGAATGCTGGAAGCACGGACCCGAGTGAATCCTGTGTCTCGTGTTCTGCTTTCATGCCCCTCCCCAATTCATGTCACTTCTTCAAGTGCTGCTGGGAGAGGAGAGGAAGCACCAACAAGAGAGCCAATGTGCTGGGCCGGGCCTGCCCTCTCAGTTTCTCTCTGCCCCCAGAGGCCGGGGCAGGGTCAGGGGTTGTTAGGGTTGGACCGGTGAGGTCTTCTGGAGTCAGCGAGGAGCGTGTCCCACCAAAAGGAGCCCTGTCCAGGGTTGCGAGTCACCTGTGGTTGATGATGCGATGGACAGTCATCCACTCTGGCTTGATGCCGAAGCGGTAGAACTTCTCCTCCAGTTCGGCATAGTGGGGGTCCTTCACCTTGCGCTTGCCGCTCTTTCCCTCGTCCTCCCCAGAGCCGTAGTCCAGGGGTGGGGGCTCGTCCATGTCATTCTTCCGTTGGTAGTTTCGATACATTACCAGGTGGAAGATTTCCAGCTGATGGGGAACAGAAGAGGGAAGAGAGACACACAGCGGGTAGGGAAGAGGTCAGCAGGGCAGTGGAAGGGGAGGCACAAAGGCAGGATGCAGGTGTGATACAGCACCCAGAGCTGAGGGAGATGGAGCTGGAGGTGGGCCTGGGTGGGGGCGTAAGAAACCAATGGAGCCACGATTGGGAATACTGTTTAAAATGCAACAAGATAACCAGGGAGATGGCTACATTGAGTCTTCGGGAAGAAAGCTGGAAGCCAGAAGACATACAAAAGGAACCAAGGAAAGAGGTAGTACCAGAGAGTGAGAGGCAGGAAATGAGAAAAAGCAAAGCATACAGAAGACGGGGGAGTGAAGGGGGCGAAGGAAAGTAAGAATCCAGGGAGTGGGGTCACAGGACATTCAGACAGGAGTGTCCCTCGTACCTGAAGCTCCTTGGCCCAGGAGCAGTGCCAGTAGGACAGGCCGACCCACTTGACAAAGAACTCGCGCTCCGATCTGCCTTGAAGGGGGCGGGGGGCTGGGGCGTCGGGATCCCCATCTGTCTGTTGGGGAGCCAGCACAGCCACGGGCGGCTCCCCCCACCGCCAGTGTAGGATCTTCTGCACGCGCCCCTTCAGCACCGGGCACTTCAGAGAGGGGAGGACGAGGCAGAAAGAACCCATCGTTAGAGCCAGGGGAGCAGGGTCCCACAAGGGAAGCAAACGGGAGGTGTGAAGAGAACAGAGACAAGGTAAGGGCTTGGCGTTTGGGGCCCAAAGCCTGGACGTGAACCACCAAAAGGGGGGACGGTTATACTCACGGTGCATCGGGGACACAGCCACTCGCCGTTGGGGATGTCAGGCAGCGGAGGGTTTAGACAATGAATGTGGTAGGAGGAGATGCAGGCGTCACAGCAGAGGAGCTCGCCGCCATCCTTGCACACACGGCAGTACTCCATGTGGTCGTCTTCCTCCTCCTTCTCCCCTTCTTCCTCTCCTTCCTCTTCATACTCTTCTTCCTCCTCCTTGGCCTCCCACTGGACCCCCTCCTTCTCCTAGGAGGCCAAGGACAGACACAGAGACAGATAGAAGAGATAAGGAACCAGGCCAGAACAGAGAGGCAAAAACAAAACACTGAAATCCTAGCTGTGCACGGAGAACTAGTGGGAGCTAAGGCCCAGGACACCTCTGTTTCCAAACACATTGCTTTGGGGTCTGGAGGGATGGGAGAAAGGTGGGGACACTCAGACACCTGGGCATCTGGTAGGGGAGGAAGAGGACAAGCGAAACCTAGGAAGAAAGAGAGAGGTGGGTCTGTGAGGGCTGCAAGAGGCTGGGCGCCTGGTACTCACACAGTGCGGGCAGCTCCACTTGCCCTCAGGAGCCCGGTCAAGTTCAGGATCAAGGCAGACGAGGTGGTAGGCACGAGGGCAGGTGTCGCACAGAATAATTTCCCCACCCTGCTGGCACACCTCACAGTAATCCTGGTGGTCCGTCTCGTAGCCATCAACCTCCTCCTCCCCGGCCACTGCAGGACAGCCCAGGACTGTCCACACCCCAGTGGAGGAAGAGGGAAGAGAGGGAGAGGGAAAGAGAGAGGGAGGGAGGGAAGAAAGGGAGAGAGAAAAAGAGAGACAAGGGTTGAATGGAGAAGTCAAAATTGAAAATAAGAAAGGCAACAAAGGAACGAGGTGAAGGCGAGCAGGATCACGCACAGCTAAGGAACGCGCCTTTACCCTTCTTCTTCTTCCGTCCCGGCCGGCCTCGCTTTAGTTTCTTGGGGCGGACAGGCCCGTCAGGGCGCCCCGAGGCACTGTGGATGCTGCCGCTGTCTAGGTCTGACTCCTCGGCCTCAGGCTCAGGGCCCTCATCACTCTGTAAAACATACTGCCCATAGCCCACGGCGGTCAGCTCGGCCAGTGACCCCACTCCCCTCCCCAGCTCTCCTTGGGGCCCATGTGTCTGCTGAGGCTCCCCAGAGGTGTAGTAGACAGGCAGGGACCACGCACCGAGCCTCCCTTCTTCCTCTTGCTGCCCAGCAGTCCTAGTTTAATTTTCAGCGGGGCCATCTTCTTTCCCCGGAGCTTCTTCCGTCCATCCGGCACTCGGGGGCTCTTACTCCGCCTCTTATGGCCTGGACCTGGATAAGGGTGGGGGTGAGGGTGGAAAAGGCAGAGGTCAAGGCACACCGGAACACGGGAGGTCATAAGAGAGGCCTCTCGGGGCCCATCTCAGAGGTTCAGTGCCATTAAGACCCCTCTTTCTGGAACGAGTTTCTCCTTCAGAAATGAGGGCTGAGAAAAACCACAGGGTTTTGCACTATACGTTGAGAGCACGTAGTCTAGAGGGTGGGGGAACAATTCTTAGAAGAAGATTCCTTACCTTTGCCCTCTTTGGTTTTGGCTCTTCGGATAGGTGGGGACTGGATATCAGCAGCAGGGGGTGGTGGAAGGATGGGAGGTCCGGAAGGTGCTATGGGGGTGGCCGATGAGACAGCCACTGACACCTGCTCAGCTACAGCTGCCGCCGCCGCTGCCGCTGCCGCCGCCACAGCAGCTGCCGACCCCTTGAAGGGGTTGTTGGCGCTGAATTCTCTCCACTTGGCCCCAAGGATGGTCATCATCTTGGACATCGGGATCTTCGGATTCTTCTTAGCAATGAGGGGCCTGTAAACAGACACGCAGAAGACTCAACCCCCTTGCGGGTGCCTGAGAGTCCTGCCCTCTCCTCTCATCAGTTCAGTCTATCTACATGCCAAGATACCCGCAGGGTGAAAACATGGCCCTGTAAGAATAAAACCAAAATTTTAAAAAGGAATAAAACCAATTAAAACAACGCAAAGCAAAGCAAAATAAAACAAACGTGCGTTAAGATGAAAGAGAAAACTAAACTTGGGGGGGGGGGCAGAAGAAACCTAAATTTGGAAAACACAGAAACAAACAAAAAATATCAGGTAGAAACGTTCTTGTGCATCTCCTTCACTGCTTAGAGAGCACTTTCATATAATGTCTTATTTCGTCCTCACAACACTAGCTGTGCCCGTGCTGCTCTGGTGTGAGATGGGAAGCTCCTGGGAGAACATGGGTAACCCTTGGCTCACTCGCACCACCTACGGTTTGCTGACCAGTAAATAAATAAGAGTGTTGTCTCTGGCAGTGAGGTAGGTGAGACCAATGTTCGTTCCTAACGACTGAGACCAGTTCCTAGGGACTGCGCACCGACTGTGCTATGCTTCCCATTTATAAAGTCCACGGCAGACTCCTAAGAAGCACACACACACACTGTTACTGTGCCTTTTTATAGACGAGGAAACCGAGGGTCAAGGTCAAAGAAGGTACCGTAACAGAATAAGTGAGAGAGACAGGGCCTGAACCTCCTCTCCAAAAAGCATCTCTGCTGTTCTCCAGTCTACCTGGAAAGTCATTGAATCTTGGGCCCCATTGCCAGAAATTCCTCTACCGTTATGGCGAGGGCCTAAAGGGGATGGGAGGGGGCGGGTGATAACGGACAACAGAAAATTTGAAAACACCAATGCTCTCAAGTCTAAGCTAGACAAGAGTCATTTGGGAAAAATGGAACCATGAGTCCCGGCTACAGTCTGCTGGTAAGGCGTTTCCCAACTTAGCACTGGCACTATAGCCCCTTGGTGAAGGGTCCTTAGCTAGGGTCCTTTAAAGTTGAGGAGCTACCTGTAAACTGAAAGGACAGACAGAATGTCAGGTGCAGGATCTGTGGGTTGTCTCTGCAGAACACACCCTTAGCTCTCATCACTTTCCAGAGGGGTCCGGGGCCTTGCCCAAATTCAGAGAGGAAGCGCCCGTCCTACCGCACCTCATGAACTGGCTGAAGGCCTTGTAGTTGGTGAGTGTATGGTAATCCTCTTCAGAGAACACATGCTCCACGTCCTCCAGCCCCCAGGTCAGAAGCAGAGTGGCCGATGACTTCTGTTCTACCGGCTGAGAGAGAGGAGTGAGGGGGGTGTTCATTCCTCTGCTCCCCGTCCCAGCGCTCCTGCACTGCCCCAGCCAGCTTCCCCAGCCTGTCTTGCTTCCTGCCCCATTCTCTGGATCAACCTCCAGCCCTCAGAAAACACGGCCTCTTTACTAAGCACCACTCACTTAGGGCTTGCCTTTCATACTGATTTCTCTCTTCGGGCCCCTAACTCTTACCTTTTTTCAAAAATTTTTTTAATCATTTTATTGGGGGCTCGTACAACTCATCACAATGCATCCATCCATCCATGTGTCAAGCATATTTGTGCATTTGTTGCCATCATCAGTCTCAAAATATTTGCTTTCTACTTGAGCCCTTGGTATCAGCTCATTTTTCCCCTCCCTCCTCCACCCTTCTTCCCTCATGAACCCTTGATAATTCATAAATCATTATTATTTTGTCATGTCTTACACTGTCCGACGTCTCCCTTCACCCACTTTTCTGTTGTCTGTCCCCCAGGGAGATTATATGTAGATCCTTGTAATCGGTTCCTCCTTTCTACTCCACCTTCCTTCCACCCACCCAGTATCGTCACTCTCACCACTAGTTCTGAGGGGTTCATCTGCCCCGGATTCCCTGTGTTTCCAGTTCCTATCTGTACCAGTGTACATCCTCTGGTCTAGCCAGACTTGTAAGGTAGAATTGGGATCATGATAGTGGGTGGGGCGGGGGGAAGCATTTAAGAACTAGAGGAAAGTTGTACGTTTCATCATTGCTATGCTGCACCCTGACTGGATCTTCTCCTCCCCGAGACCCTTCTATAAGGGGATGTCCAATTGCCTACAGATGGGCTTTGGGTACCCAATCCACACTCCCCTTCATTCACAATGATAGATATTTTGTTCTTTGATGCCTGATACCTGATCCCTTCGACACCTCGTGATCACACAGGCTGGTGTGCTTCTTCCATGTGGGCTTTGTTGCTTCTCAGCTAGATGGCCACTTGTTTATCTTCAAGCCTTTAAGACCCCAGATGCGATCTCTTTTGATGGTCGGGCACCATCAGCTTTCTTCACATTTCCTTATGCAACCGCTTTGTCTTCGGCAATCATTTCGAGCATCATGGAATGCCAGTTTAATAGAACAAAGTGTTCTTGCATTGAGGGAATACTTGAGTGGAGGCCCAATGTCCATCTGCTACCTTAACACTAAACCTATAAATACCTGCACATAGACCTATTTCCCTGTCATCACATATATTTACATATGTACATGCCTGTATTTAGACCTCTGTAAATGCCCTTTGCCTCCTAGTTCTTTCCTCTATTTCCTTTTACTTTCCTCTTGTCCCACCATCATGCTCAGCCTTCATTTGGATTTCAATAATTCCTCTCGGTTACATTGCCCTTGATCACACCCTACCAGACTCTTACCTTTTGTCCCCCATCTCCTTCCCCTTTTTTCCGCCGCTTGGTCTTCTTCTCCTTTTTTTCTCGGTGCTTCCGTCTCCGTTTCCGACCTGGTCCGGTTCCATATTCACTGCCCCCGCTCTCAGACTTCTCCCGGTACTCATCTCGCTCCGAGCCAAATTCTTCCTCGCTGTCCTAAGTAAGGGATGGAAATAAGAACATTTACTCAGCAATATCCATGTACCGGGAGCTATTCTTCACATGAGTACTGTGATGTGGTTCTTTACTTTTTCCAAATGAGGGAACTGAGGCTCAGAGAGCTAACAGACATTGCCCAAGGAGACAAGTGTGCTTCCAGACCCCAAATGCACACAGTGGACACGTCTGAGACCTATGCTTTCAACCACTTCCATTTGTGGGGAAGGGAAGGCACACCCCACATCTGGGCTCCTCACTAGGTTGTAGTGGGAGGGGACAGCAACTCAGGCCTTCCTGAATCCAAAGGTCCCCGTACCCCTCACCCCCATCAGTAATCAGGACCCGAGAAAATATCGGTCTCGGTCTCTCCAGGCCATAATTAGGGGACCCCAAAAGTACCCTAAAGGCTCCAGAGAGGGAGCTGGGTAAAAGCAAGGGCTGGTTCTGCAGAGCCTGGCTGTAGCGCCAGGATTCCTTGCTACTTACACGCTTCTTCCGTTTCCGGGGTTTTCCTGGCTTGTTCTCCTTCTGTTTCTTAGGTCCTCGTTTTCTTTTCTTTACACCCAACGCTGACGACAGCAGCCGAATGTCTTCCTTATCTTTGGAGCAGAAAGCACCAGCACAGCCTAAGCTTCTGGATTCCCAGTCTTTGGGGCACCCCAGTCGCACCCTTTCTCGCCCCCAGTTCCTGCTCTCTAGGAACTTGGGGCTTTAACTCCTCCTAACCCTGCCTCCCTTCCCTGGGTGCACAGAGAGTGCTGTGAACACTCGGGGCTGCTCTGGCTCTCAATGGCAAGTCAGGGGTCAGAAGGGAAGCGCAGCCAAACCACTCCCTTCTCGCTCCTACTAACAAGGGGCCAGGCTCTGGGCCATGGGCTCTGACTATGGCAGGTCCTTTTAGTCATCGCCAGGGAGCCTCCTGCCTTCCCCCTCACTTCGCCAGCTGGCATTCTGCCCAGCAACCGGGGAAGCCATGCCCAGCTGCTGGCCTGGCCTGACCCCAGAATTTGGAGTGGGGAGACACAAACTGGCAGCTCCTGAAGCCAGATGCTGAGAAGGGCAAGCCAAAGGCTGGACACCTGGGTTCTCAAACGAACACCCTGGGGCCCTGACGTCCTTTTTTGGGACCAGGGAAGCCTCTATTTATATTTCCGCCGCTAATCACCAAGCCTCCTGTCATCTCAGCATAGCCTTGAAGGAAAAGCAAGCCTTAGCGGGTCATTTCCCCATCTTCCCTGCAGATCATCGCACTTTCTCTGGGGGCAGGTCTCCGCGATGACCTACACCTGCCACCTGCTTCCAAGTAGCTTGGAGCCTGCCGGTCCTAGCGCTGCTCCCTACACACCCTCCCCACCCCTCTGAGAACTCAGGGGCCTGCCCTTTGCCCCCCTGGACTCATTCTTCATTCCCACATTTCACCCCAGAAATCCTTACCTAAGCTTTATGGGTGCAGTTAAGGGAGATTCGAATGAAGACATAGGCAGAGGCATAGCACTGACACTGTCAAATGCACACAGATAGTCATGGACATAAACGCAGTCTGTACCTGCTGTCAGCAGGGCTACGTCCCTGGCTTTCTCCCCAGATGTCTCTGTCAGAAGGCCCAGGCCGAGTTCGTCCCTGCTGACCCCCCACTCCATTCTCCCTGACCCCTGCCAGCCTGTGGCGGTACCCCGAGTGGGGCAAGGCCCTGCTGCCACACAGACCTGGGGCCCTACTCTGCCCCCCCTCCCCCAGCAACCACCAGACTAACCAGCCAGACCTGTCCTGTGCAGGCAAAGGCAACTGCAGCAGCGAGAGGGGAAAGAGAGGGAGAGAGCACCAGGTTTGGCCCAGCCTCTCGCTCCAGGACACACAATCCTTCCTCCCTTGGCAGCCAACGGAAAATTAGCCACAACAATTAACACCGCAGGCCCTGGTTTCCATTGCTTCAGAAGTCAGGCATCTCCCTCCTGCAAGGCACCTTCTCCCCCTAACTCCAGCATCCCGTCCTCTTAGGCAGGGGCCCATCTCAGACCGGATGTCTAGGAGCCTGTGGTGCAGAAACCCTGGGTAGGGGATGGAATACGAGGGCAGTAAGGCGCTCTGATCCAGGCCGCCAGCTCTCCCTAACCCCAGGGACTTCGGTTAACATGAATATGGAAACGGAGGTTGCCAGGGTGGTGGTGAGGGCAGGCCAACTGGCTATGGATGGGGGGAAATGGCCTGGGTCATCACCAGCTGGGGGGGCAGTGCGTGCCCTGGGACTTGACAGCCTGTTCATTCCTCTCCCGGCACTACCCAGAGGTGTCCAACTTAGAAAGACGTCGAAGGCGAAGAGAGGGAAATCCAGCAATTCTAAGTCCTAACCTTTCTGTCTCACCAGCCACTCAATGCTGGCCCAGAGCCCAGACTCTCCCACATCTCTGACTCTGATCTGGGGAAGACGCGGCGGGAGGAGGGCGGGCGAGGAGCGGGGGGCGGAGCCTGGCAGCCAGAGAAAGGAGGCGGAGCCTCTGGGAAAGCCTCGCCCCCCGCCCGCCCCGCTCTTCTTCTAATCTCACCATCAATCTCTCACACATATATTTATTTTTTCTCAAATTCCCCTCCCTCCCCCACAACGAACCACCATAATAGGTCGGCTGCACATGCGTATTGCATGCAGGGGGTGGGTTTGTATTTTCAGGCCTTTTGCAAAGAAACTACCAGAATTTTCCGCACCACCCACAATCACTCCCCACCCCCACTCCGGAGGAATCGCATCTATATATTATGTTATATTATTTCTCTAGACTTGCCAGAAGGGGGAGGGAGACGAAATGAGTTCTTGGCTTCCTGCTCCCTTCCCCCACCAACTCGAGTGCTATGATTTTAAACGTTTCACAATGTAAGGAGACTGGAGAAGAGGGGGAGGGCTAAGATCGGTCTGGGGTAAGACTGTAAAACAAAATGGTGAGAATCGGAGCAGACAGGCTGCAAAACAATGGGAGCCCCTAATATCTGAAATCCATATTGTAGCCAAGGGCGAGGGAGGGCCGATTCGGAGAGCCAGGCTCTTTTCCAGCACACTCACATGGACAGAAAGAATGAGCAGAGCAGACGAAAAATGTCTCCCCAAAGTTTTACCTCGGAAAGTCATCTGGGGGGCGGGGGGTGTATCTGGGTCACTCATTTGACTGGGAGGGCTGAAAGGGAGAGAAAATAACCCTGGGGGAAAGGGGGGGCGGGTTTTCATTTCAAATAGAAGAGGGGATTTTCCCCCCTCAAGCATTTGACGTTTCTTCTCATCTACTCAGAAAGCAGAGGGGCCGGGGGAGGCAAGAATGGCGCAAAGGCCGACCCAGCTCCACCTTAAGATTCGTTCCGGCTCCGGGCTCTCACGGACCGAATCCGGGTTCACTAAGCTCCCGATAACCACACCCCAAACCCAGAAGGCCAGCGGGCGAGAGCTGCCAATCCCTTCAGTAGAGCTGGCATCCTCTCTGCCCCTCCAGGTAGTCCCGCGGTCGTTTGGCGGGCACCCCCGGCCCCAGTTCTTTCTGCCCTTTCTCTCCAGCACAATCCAAAGGGCGCTCGGGGCTAACTTTCAAACCAAAGGCAAACAACAAACTTTCCCCTGGTCAGACAGGCCTGGGCATTAAGGGGGGGGGGGGGTTATCTTGGTTCCCTCGGGCATGCCCCCCGTGAGAAAGCCCCCACACCCTCCCCTCCCGACGGCAAGGCAGGCGTTTGCCACAGATGGATGGCACCCAACCCACAGCTAGACAAAGACCTCGATGTCGGGGCATCTGAAGTTGGGTGCGTCTGGGGTGGGCACTGTCCCCTTTTCACCGTCCCGGCAGGGGGTGTGACCGCTGGATGCTCACCTACGCTAAAGCATGTTTTTT